ACAGATAACAGGCTTCAGTGGCTTCAATACGGCCTTATCACTTTATTGTTTTTAAACAATTGATTAAACAGAATAATAAAGAATGAAAATTAAATTGATCCTTGTCTCTAGTGGAGGATTTCAAGTGTGTCGGGGTAAGGCAAGGCAAAGGCAAGGCAAATTTATTTTTTATAGCACAATTCAGTACAAAGACAATGCAAAGTGCTTTACAAGATTAAAATATAGGAAAATAAAAAAGAATCAAAGCAAGTAGGAAAAAAATTAATAAAATAAAATAACAAAATGCAGAAACAAAAAAGAACATTAAAAAAAGTTGGACTAAAGAAAATAAAAAAAAAGTTGAACTAATGATGTTTCAGTTGAACTGTTTAACTAGAACAGTCGAAGGCAATCCTAAACAAATGTGTTTTTAGTCTTGACTTAAAGGAATTCAGGCTTTCCGCACTTTTACAGTTTTCTGGAAGTTTGTTCCAGATAAGTGGAGCATAGGAACTAAATGCTGCTTCTCCATGTTTACTTCTGGTTCTAGGTATGCAGAGCAGCCTGGAGCCAGAAGACCTGAGTGGTCTGGAGGGTTGATACACTGATAGCAAGTCTGTGATGTATTTAGCTGCTAAGCCATTCAGAGATTTATAGACTAACAGAAGTATTTTAAAGTCTATTCTCTGAGATACAGGGAGCCAGTGGAAGGACTTTAGAACTGGGGTGATGTGCTCTACTTTCTTAGTCTTAGTGAGGACACGGGCAGCAGCGTTCTGGATCAGCTGCAGCTGTCTGATCCACTTTTTAGGCAGACTTTTGAAAACACCGTTGCAGTAATCAATTCAACTAAAAATAAACGCATGGATTAGTTTTTCCAGTTCATGCTGAGACAGTAGTCGATGGGGTCTTGTTCACGAGTGAGGGACGGATGGACTGATCGGTGCGGAGTCAGCAGTGATGCGGTTGCTGTATCGGACTGTCGTGGTGGAGGGGGAGCTGAGTCGCGGGGCAAAGCTCCTGATTTACCGATCTATCTACGTTCCCACCCTTACTTATGGTCTTGAGATTTGGGTAATGACCGAGAGGATCGCGAATACAAGCAGCCGAAATGAGTTTCCTTCGCAGGATGGCTGGTCGCACCAAGTCGCTGCTCCTCCACATCGAGAGGAGCCAGCTGAGGTGGCTCAGGCATCTGCTTCAGATGCCTCCTTGTTGCCTCCCTCGGGAGGTGTTCCAGGCATGTCTCAATGGGAGGAGGCCTCGTGGGAGGCCCAGGACACGCTGGAGAGACTATGTCTCTGAGCTGGCCTGGTGTCGCCTCTGGGACCCCCCAGAGCAGCTGAAGGAGGTACGTTGGGGTATGGAATTCTGGGCATCTCTGCTTAGACGGCTTCCTCTGCAACCCAGCCAAAGAAAATGAATGGATGGACAAAAGACCTATCAGTAGGAGCCGATGTGACCGGCTGCTAGATGTGATCCAAAAACAAGCTGAAAAAGTCCAGAGCATCATGAAATCGCGCAGTTTTAAAAAAAACCCAGATGTTTCTGCCTGCTTTCCTCTAACCTGACAACAGCCAGATGCATGTCTCGCTCCGCCCAGCTCCACTCACATACATCTGGGAACCCGCTCATTGAAAGTGATTTCCCCAACCGAATTTATGGTCTGGCCAATCAGGACGCAGGGTGGGTGTGTCCTGGAGTGGAGAAGCGACCGTGAGATTCCAACAACAATGGCGGCTCGCATTGAGGAAGCAAGCGTTAGCATTGATGCTGCTATTTCTTCTGTGTTGTCCAATCTATCTGATATTGTTTCATTAAAAGAACATCAGAGAACGGCTTTGAAGGCTTTTGTTGGTGGAAACGATGTTTTCGCCTTCTCCTGACCGGATTTGGCAAGAGCTTGATCTACCAAATGGCTCCTCCTCTCACAGCGTCACGGGTTAGCCTCGGTGTGAGTGGTTGAAATAGCACGTCAATAAAGATGACAGACAAGTGGCTTATCCAATCATATGCAAGGAGTTTTGATAAGGCCCAGCCTTCAGTAAAGGCAATTCCTATGGCGGGTTCCCAGATGTATGTGAGCGGAGCTAGGCGGAGTGAGACATGCATCTGGTTGTTGTCAGGTTAGCTTTCCTCCCCTAAATAAGAAATGTATGACGGAGGAGACTCATCCATGACCTCCGACACTAAACTCTCCTGCTCTTGCATGTTTCCTCTGTCCATAGCGTTCCTTGACAGGTTCGTTTCTAAGGCACCAATTTAGTGCTACTTGGTCCCAATGGAATTTCCCATTAGGAACCTACTAGCACTAAGTTGCTAACTGGTTAGCAAGATGCTTCCGACAAACCAGCCACAACCAAACTTGCTTAGGAACCTTCCACCTCAGCAATCCCGCCCCCTTGATAAATGACCAATCACATTCACTTTATTCACTCGTGTAAAGTCGTGCACTATTCGGGAGAATTCGGAAATGCAACGATTGGAACAGCAGCTTCCCTACGACTTAAATGACACTTCAGTATTACGCTGCTGTGCGTTACGTTGGGCTGTCATTGGACATAAGTTCTGGACTCATTATAAATACTCTATGTATACGCCCAAAATTGAAAAAATACATAGAAAGTTCAGCGTATGCTGGGAGATCTTAGGAGATTCTGGGACGTCAGGTTAAATCAGCAAGGTGTGACAGCGCCCTTAGTGCTGATTTATGCAGTAAAATTGTTGTTTGTGATTCACTTTTGTTGTGATCCTGGCACCATTAGCAAACGTTTAAACTGAAGTTGTGCAGAGAAAGTGATTCGTAAAATGAAGTTTGTTAGAATGCAGTTTATAAAAACTTAATCTACAAAATGTAAATTTAAATAAATAATTTGAAAATATAAAATCTGTGAAAAAAAAAAGTTAATTGAAAGACAAAAATATAAATATAAAAAAAATATGAAAAATCCATTAAAAAAAGGAAATTTGAAAAAAAAAAAGTTTCAAAGTTTAATTTCTGGGTTGCAGTTTTTTTCAAACTTCTAAAAAATGTTTTTTTTCTTTTTCTAAAATATGTCTTTGGCTCACAAACATTGATGGAAAAAAAGTTCCCTCCCTTCTCCTAGTTCTGAAACCCTTCAGAAGGATTTTCTAAATCAGTGCTGTAATCTAGACCCACATTTTGTGTCTCTGCTCGTTGTTTATCTAAGTCCTCCCCTAAAACAAGCAGGACAACCTCTAAGAAGCTTTGAGGTCCTCTAGAGGTTTGTTCTCTGGATTCCTGTTGGGACCAGTAACATGTGCAGAGCGTAACTATGGAAGAAAATAAACTGGGGGAGTTGTTAGATAAAATAAACACTTAAAGCAACAGATTGGAGGAATGTAAACTGTGGGAGCAGGAAGAAGGGCTGCAATGATGACATGGAAGTTCCTCTGTTCTGATGGCTGTTTCAGCTCTGTTATCGTCCTGCAGCCGCCTAATGAAGCCAGCACAGATATATAGTCAATAGATGCAGTAATTAGGCGGATCTTTATGACCACTGGGAGGTGAACCCCTCCATCGATGGCTGGACAACCATAGAGCACAGGTGGTTATAATGTTCTGCCTCATCATTTACTTATCTACTTACAGCCCAGCTGGAAGCTGTGGGTTCAGTTCCAGCCTCTCGTCTCCTGCCCAGCACTGGTGCGCCCCTGAGCAAGGCACTAACCTATTTACTGTGCCTACAGGGTTTATACAGGAATGGGTAACTCTAATGCTGTTAGAAATAATTGTAATGCCATCAACAAGTACCCATTATTCACATACATATATATATATATATATGTATATGTATATATATAAATGTATATATATATATATATTTATACACATGTATGTATATATATATATATATATAATTATATACATATATATGTGTATATATAAATACATATATATATACATATATACATATACATATATACATATATATATGTATATATGTATGTGTGCATATATAATTATGTGTATATATATGTATGTATACGTATATGTGTATATATATGTATATGTATATATATTTATATATATATAAAAAAGATGACAAAATCCTTCATCATCTTTACCATCAACAGGCTGTAGCCATGTTCCGAATTCCTCGTTTTCCAGCCACTTTTGTTTAAATTAGCATTTTCCCATTCTCTAGCTTTTTTTTCCGCCTTCAGCTTCTTTTCCGAACAAACGGCTTTACGATAAACCGGAAGCAGTTCCGAGCAAACATGCAGAACCATTCATATCTGATATATCTGACAAAAATAAAGCATTTTAAATGCCACAATTTTTTATAGAGTAAAATTAATAATAATAATTTATTGAATTGTAATGATTTTTAATGACCCTGGTTTTAATGAGGAGAAAGTTCAGTCACGATTCAAACAGAAGAGCTGGTTCTGGTCCAGCTGTCCACATCTGTTTGGTTCCACCTCAGAACCCTGCTGCTGCTCATCCTCTCTGTCCTGGATTCATCGTCTGGTTTGCTGGACTTTAAATCAGTCTTTTCTATTGGGGGTTCCCAGTTGTGGGACCTGATTGACCCGAAAGTTAAATTTTTTGCTTACTATTTAAGCTGTTATATTTGTTTCCATCCAGCCAAAATAAATTATTTAAATATAAAGAAATACATTTTTGTCTTTTTTCTGCTTTTAATTTACATTTAAAGGTAGTCTTTTTTGTTAAAAATAGTTTTTTACATCCAGGATAAAGGCAGATTGACTTTAAAGACCCAAGCTTCATAACCAGGGACCATCTGTTTGGTTTCCCCCTCATGGAGAACTAGTACGTGTGATTTCTAGTGTGAAGCTGTTATCTAACCGCTCCAATGAACTCATCACAGGACTCCTTAAACTCTGGGTCGGGTCGCTGGCTTTGCTCTGGTGGGTCAGGGCGTAGCGGGGAATCTGCACGTCAGCCGGCGGAGACATCTGATGTAGCTGTGAAATGTCTCCAGAATGCTGCAGCCACAGCTTTAACTGATCCGTTTGTCTCTGTTCTGGTCCAGGTGAGCGGAGGATCCTTCACCTGGGGAAACAACCAGCTGACGCTGTCAGACATCAACATCCGGATCCCCACAGGTAGAGCTGCTGCCTCGAAGTCACCTCAGTCCATGAAAGGAAAGGATGCTCTTAGTTCTCGCCGTTTGACTGGATTCATGAACCGATTCATAAAAGCAGGAAGAATTCACACTTTCATTACGCAGATCATTTCTAAACTAAGCTGAATTCAACATCAGGGTCAGAACCTCCTGATGTCATAAAAACAACATCAACATTTCTGTCTTATTTATAAAATGAGTCTAAATCACTAAATGTTCCTTTAAATATCAGACTATTTCTATAATGTCCTGACAGATTAAAAGATTTTTTGTATACCGTATTTTAAACACTCATTTTTTTACACATGCCAATGCAATCGACACTCGTATGACCAGGTGGTCATGCACAGGAGTAGACAGGATCAGGTGCAGATGAGCAGGCTCAGTGGAAGACGGGACGTGGAACCAGAACTCGATGCAGGACTTTAAACTGGTCCCCTCCCTGGAGGCAGGCTTACTGGAATAAAAACTGAACCTCCCCACATATTGAGCCAAAAACCCAGAGGACTCCGCGGGGGAGGAACAGCGGTCAAGCAGCTTCTAGCCAATGAAATTAGCTCATTTGGTCACGTGACTCAACAGTTTGGCATAGCTTTGTTCCGGGCTGAATGAAGCTGAATGAGGAGTTTTTCTTGTTAAATCAGGGAGCTACTAATAGAAGGTCATTAGAGTTTATCTTCTAATTGGACTGGGTGAAACAACTGAGCCAGTCACAGCTAGTGCGGCCCCCCTTTCTGCCACGGCTCTTGGTTTGATCCGGAAGGAGCCATCTTTTTTTTTTTTTTTGGACCAAATGAGCTAATTTCATTGGCTAGAAGCTGCTCACCTGAGAGTAGATTGCTTTGACTGAAGTTCTACAAAAGGTCAAAACATTTGCAGGCAAATATTTTTGCAGGTGAATTTTTCAAAATGAATTATTTTGCAGCTAATTTTTTTTGCAGCTGAATTTTTTGCATGCAAATTTTTTTGCCGTTGAATTTCTTTGCAGGTGACTGTTTGGTATGCACTTTTTTGGCAGGTGAACTTTTTTGCAGGTCAATATTTTTTGCAGCTGAATTTCCACCCGATAAACATTTAGTGTAAGGAATTTAATATGTAAAAAAATTCAGTGTTTAAAATTCTGAGCTAAAAAAGTTCATGGTTTAGAATATGGTGAACAAAAAGCCAGATTCCAATTAGACAGTTTTTCTTCAATAGGGATGAAAACAGTAATTTATTGCTAAATTACTGTTTCCTGAAGCTTCTCATGTTTTAAAGATCCATCACTGTGTGAAATAAATGATTTCATTACTATGCATGAGAAGCTAAGATGGAGCCGTTCCACGAAGACACTGAGAGCAGAAAGACTTTTAACACCTCGGTTTTCATCTCCTGGGTAATTTGCTTCAATCCACCATGAAACAGGTCTGATTTCCATCTTTTTAAAGGTTTGCATGAGAGCTGAATAGGAACAGAGGTTGAGGCGACTTTCAGGCGGTGCTGTTCTTTAAATCAGACTGGGTCAACTTCAAATGTCCTTTCAGAATATTTCATTTCTGTTGCTTTTAGTATTTATTCAACACCCAACAGTGAGATGCAGATGGATGAGGAATTTGTTTTTATTTCTCTCATACTTCCACAATGACTTATTGGTTATATTGAATATTTATTTAAGTATTCCTTATGATTTATTGAAATTCAACTTAATACATTTATGTTTGGAAAAATACAAAATAAATATTGAAAAAAGGACAGAGAGTTAAGAGCTTTTTCAATTATATTTTTATGAGGAAATCAAACCTTTTTAGCCATTTTTGTTTAAAGTAGACGGTTTGTTAGATCATTCTGTGTTCGGGAGAGAAGCTGATTACATGTCCTAAAGCTTTGGATTAACCCTGAAATCAGATTATTTGAAATCAGATTATTTGTAAAAAAAAAAAAAAAGCTCAACATTGATGTCGGATCACTGCTTAAATCCCAGTTTAGAAATCCGGCTCGCCGTTACATCGAAAATAACAGTGACGCCGCTCACTTCTCGGTGAAATGCCAAGTGTCAGGGAGCTGGATGGCGGCTAGCAGCTGCATCATGCAGCACTTCGGCCCTCTGGGAGGCAAACAGTTCCAATCTTCTGCCAAGTGCTGGAGGGGAACTAACTGGACTTGTGAGGGATTATGCGTTTCGTATTTCAGACCTGGTCTCTGCCAGGCTGACTCAGAACGTGTGACCATGAGTGTAATTCTCCCCGACTTAATTACATGAGCCCCCCCTACATTTACACACAAATTGTGAGAAATGTCACCTAAGGAGCTTAGCAGGCGTGATACTAGCAGGTGGTTTATTTTCCATAACCCCCAAACACTCTGAATTGGTGGAGTTTAACTTATATTCTTCAATCAAATAACATTTTCCAAATATGATCTTGTGCTTTAAATGATCACTTTTAGTAATCTGCCTCCAAAATGATGCTTCATCTGTCATATTCAATGTGTTTCCATCCCAGGTCAGCTGACGATGATCGTGGGCCAGGTGGGTTGTGGGAAATCCTCCCTGCTGCTGGCCATGCTGGGAGAGATGCAGGCAATCGATGGGAGAGTTCACTGGAGCAAGTAAGTCAAAATTAGGATACGTCTAAGCATCATGGGATAAAAGACATTTCATCAATACTAGACGCTAAAAAAACTATTTCATGCCAACAAAAAATAAATTCATCTATAAAAAGAAGAAGCCATCTTACTGGATTTAGAACATTTTCTGTCTGTTTAACTTTGTAAACAGTTTTCCTGGTTATTGGTTTACGGTTTGCATATAAAAGCAAGGATGTGAAAGCTAAATGCTCCCATCTTCTCTAATTAGTACCTTTTAGTACTTTGCCAGCATGTAAAGGTACATATTCCAAATAACTGGCTACTCTGAGATGAAAAAAGCTTCTTCTTTTTCTCTGTTCTTATTTTATTATTTGATCATAGGGCTGGGCGATAATTCAATAACGATATATATCGATCGATAGACGTGTGGCGCAATAGAAAAAAAGAGTGTCGATAAAAGTTCGATAAAGAAACGCAGTTTTCCTTCCTTCTCATTGTAGCCTAGCATGTAGGTTTATGCTAGTCACTACTTCCTCCCAACCAATCACAATGGCGGACCCAGGCACGCCGTCACCAAGCGCCGCCCTCTCAAACCACAACACAGAGCACATGAAGATGTCGCAGCAAGGAGAAGCAGAGGAAATTGTTCCAAAGAAGGGTTTTTGTAGTTCGGCAGTCTGGCAGTATTTCGGTCATGGCAAGTCGGACAAAAAACAAACCACAGTCATCTGTAAAATGTGTCGGGAACCAGTGAAAACGAAGTCTGATAACACAACCAACTTTTTTTTTATCATCTCAGCCGCTCACAGCCGCAGGAGTACGAGCTGTGTAGGCCCCGGTGCGGCTCTGCATCGCCTACGAGGAATTTTCGGGAATTTCGGGAAAATATATATATAAAGTTCTGGGCAGTTTCCCACATAGTTCTAACAATTGAGAGAAAAATGCTGAGGGGCCAGCAACTTCAAAGTAATAACTCAGGTTAAAGCAGGAAACTAAGCTGAACCAGGTTCAGCTTAGAAGAATGGGGGCGGCGGTGGGGGGGCATTTATTTATTTGTTATATTTATTTTGGTCACTTTTCTGGTCACTTTAGTTTATTCTTTGTCAGTATTTAATAACATAACTCAGGTCTTTTAAGTTATTTTTCTTTAAAACAATTCTGTTATGGTTAAAAAAGGTCGTTAAATAAATATTTAATTGGAAGTCTGTGTTTGTGTTCTTTATTAAAATTAAATCATTTAGCAATATTATAAAAAGTCCAGGCCAAGCTGCACATAAAATATGGTTTCAAATCTTTTCAATAATTATCGATATCGATCAATATGCATTTTTTTTTATCGATAAGCTTTTTTTCTATATCGCCCAGCCCTATTTGATCATTTATATTAGACAGAAAATTTATTTATTTATTGCATTTTTCAGTCAATAATTAAGTGGACATAAAAAACTGGACCAAAAAAGTGCTCTTAACTATGACGGAGTGTTAGGGTAATTTTTTTAAATCTTGAGAATAAAGTTGTAATACTGCGAAAATTAAGTCATCATACCGCAACCAGTTTCTGAAAGAAAGCTTGCAGCTCTGGTCAGCAGATGATGGCCGACCAGCTCCACCAATCAGCAACCAGAGTCCACTTTGACATCCTGCCCAGTTTGATGCTGCTGCTAAAAGATTTCCTGATTTATTTAACCAGAGGCAAAGTATAACTTCACATGATGCTTCAAATTCTTTATTTTTAAGTGCTTCTTGTAGGACTTCTCATAAAATACAACTTTATTCTAGTTATTTTAAGACTTTATTCTCTTAATTTTATGACTATTCTCATTGTGACTTTATTCTCATGAATTTATGACTTTATTCTCGTACTGTTATGACTTTATTTTGTCGTTTTATGACTTTATTCTCATAGTTTTATGACTTTATTCTTGTAATTTTATTACTATTCTCATTGTGACTTTATTGACGTAATATTACGACTTTATTCTCGTTATATTACGACTTTATTCTCGTAATATTATGACTTTATTCCCATAATTTTATGACTTTATTCTTGTAATTTTATTACTATTCTCATTGTGACTTTATTGACGTAATAGTACAACTTTATTCTGATAATTTTTCGACTTTATTCTCATAATCTTGTGACTGTATTCTTGTAATGTTACGACTTTATTGTTATTACTTTATTCTCGTAATGTTGACTTTATTCTTGTAATTGTACGACTTTATTCTCGTAATTTTATGACTTTATTCTCATAATCTTTTGACTGTATTCTTGTAATGTTACGACTTTATTGTTACAACTTTATTCTCGTAATGTTATGACTTTATTCTCGTAATTCTACGACTTTATTCTTGTAATTTTACGACTTTATTCTCGTAATTTTAAGACTTTATTCTCATTGCGACTTTATTCTCGTAATTTTACGACTTTATTCTCATTGCGACTTTATTCTCGTAATTTTACGACTTTATTCTATTTGCGACTTTATTCTCATAATTCTACGACTTTATTCTCGTACTTTTAAGACTTTATTCTCATTGCGACTTTATTCTCATAATGCTACGACTTTATTCTCGTAATTTTAAGACTTTATTCTCATAGTGCTACGACTTTATTTTCGTAATTTTAAGACTTTATTCTCATTGCGACTTTATTCTCACAGTGCTACGACTTTATTCTTGTAATTTTAAGACTTTATTCTCATTGCGACTTTATTCTCATAATTCTACGTCTCTGTTCTCGTAATTTTATGACTTTATTCTTGAAAATCTGTATCCTCGCCCCAATACTCCGTCTAACTTAACAGTCACCTGCTATAAGGATACTTCTTTTCATAACTAATCGGTGCTAAATGCTAATGCTAACATTTGGAATGCCCTTCTTACTATTAAGTAAAAACATAAGAAACAGAATTTTTTTTAGTTATGAAAAATTGAACATTAATTACAAACCAGAAAAATCTTATTCTGTGTTATATGTTTACAGGAAAATGTTATTAAGCTAGCCAGTGTTGCTTATTATGTTTATATAAGAATAAATAGTGGATAAATAGCTATTTCCTCTGACTCCTCATATTATACGGTGACCAGACGTCCCAGATTTCCAGGTCGGTACCCATTTTAGACCACCTGTCCCCAGCTAAAGCTGTCCCCGTATTAATGAGGGGGGAAATGTTGTGTATAGAGTGTTATTATGGTAGAAAGCCTGGCTAAAACCGTAGCTCACCAACAAAAAAAGTCCACATGCGCAGAAAAAGACAGCTAACCGTGGACAAGCAAGTAGGATGGCTTTACGTAAACATATCACCAGAATGATTGACAGTCAGGTGATAGATGATCCACTCGCAAAAAGAAAATCCTCCACTATATCTTTAAACATAAAGTTAAAAAACAATGTATTTTTCCCGTTATGCCATAATAATGTCAACGTTTTGTTTGACTGATGCAAACATCGGCAGATGGAGTTTTATTGCTAATTTATCTGAAACACTCCAAGAGTTTGTAGCCATGTAGCTCATTATTAGAGCAACATACAAAACTCTAAATCTGGATAATGAAAAATTCTTATGGTTTCTAAGTCTGGCTGAGACACATCCTTGGTAAAAAAAAAAAAAAAAAAGATAAATTCAGCCTAGTTTTTTTTTTTTTTTTTTTTATCCAGCCAACCGTCCAACAAAGTAACAAATGCTATAAAAAAAATCACCTCCTTGGTGGGGATAGTCCCCAGCATAAAACTAAAAGCTAGCCGGTGTAGGTTCCAGATCTGCTCGGGCCCCGCCCCTTCTTATGACCTCAACGTATGGCAACTCCACTCGGACAAACTATATAGCACCCATTTCTTAAGGATCAAATGTCTTCTGGAGTCTCAACTTATTATTACCTATATTTGCTATTATTTTACATTTCATTGGCAATCTAAAGTAGCCGAAAGTAGGAAACAATCGTAAGTCTTGAAGGAAAGTTCTGCCTTCTAAGACAGACAGAGCTCTGCTATTTAACAAGGTGACAAAAAAGTCTCAGTTTATTTTTATTCTTTTTATTAAGATCTGAGGGAAGGAAGGACAAATGAAACATCTTAAAAAAGAGATTTTAGACAAATAAAAGAGTTATTCTACTTGTCGAAAACGAACGGTTGTTGTTGACACAAATTTAAAAGTAGTGTAGCTTAATATGGCTAACTGACCGAGCTAAAAGAGGCTAACCTGTTAGCAACTGAGCACAGCTAGCTACAGCGCTAACCAGCTCTGCCCCTTTATATCATGGTCTAACAGTTACTTTGTTCACCAGAAACAGATTTTTTTTCAGTTTTTGCTATCACGGTAACGCTACAGATGCTCTCAACACACAGATGCTGTGCAAAGTTAGTATCGTTGTCTGGGCAACCACAATGTTTTATATCATGTGGCAATGTTCAGCCAATCATGTAGCGTAACGCCACTAGCATGCGCAGGATCCGAGCAGATCTGGTACCCACACCGGTTTCGCTTGCTGCCAAACTTATTAGGCAAGAATAGATGGTTCAATATTAAAAACTCTCTAATGAATAAAAATTTTTAAAAATTTCCAAAAACTATGGAGACATATATTATTTTAAAGATCACACCAAGTAAATCACCAATAAAACTGTTTTTAATAAAGAAATTCCCACATTTAAAAGGTTTTATTTTTAGTGGGAGGACAAGTGACCAGAAGATTCACACGTCTGCTGCAGCTTATCAATTTTAACATCTGTTTTGAAAAGTATTTCCTTAAACCTTGATTTCTAACTCCAGTCTTGACGTTCCAGAGCCGTAAAATAACATTTCTGTCGATGTTTTGGCTGTGCTCTGTATCTGTGTTGTTGTGTTTTCACTGTATTTCCTGCCTTCATGCCACATCAGACTGCCTGATTGTGAGATGAGCCACGAAGGGAGCTTCAGGTACTTCATTTCTGTCCGTGGTGTGTTCATCCTGAAACAGTATGTCCACTAGATTCTGCTAATTTACCCTCCTCTATAGACACTGACCCCCCCCTCCCAATACTATTTGCTCAGTCATCATAGTGAATATAACCGCAGATATGAAGGGAAGAATCACTCATTGATCATTTTCCTTTAACATGCATCAAGGTAAAATCCCCCAGAAATACACTCTCTGATCGTGATCATCCACAACATCCCTGCTAGTGCTTCCCAACTCAATCAGCTTATAAATCTTTCTTGAATATTTATTTGTCTGATTATTTCTGTTGCTGTTTAAAATCCCAGAGGCCCAAAAATATGAGACCTCGTTGTCTAAGAAGCCAGAAAACCTAATTATCCCGGACAGACAGAATGACTGCATCACTCACCAGGCTCTCCTTTCCTGGGTGGGAAGGTTAATTTGATCATCAGCTGGCCGTCATCCCTGTCTGCTCTTTCACATCCGTCATGTCTTTTTAACATTGAGGCCCAAGCTGTTCTCCGTTGTCCCTACCCTGCTTTGTCTTGTTTTTTTTCTGCACATTTTTAAAGACAGAGAATTGGGTTTAAGGTCAATTCTGACTAAAATGCTGGTTTTGACAGCTGGTCAGAGATTGAGGACTCTGAGGAGGACGTCGGGAGGTACATCTTCATCTGATCGTCTCCTGCTTCTTGTTGTGGGGGCTCTAGTGACCTGTTTGACCCGTTGTTCGCCTCTGCTGCTTTCCTTCCATCAGTTCTAACCCTCCTTATGTTTGTGCCTCTTAATGCTGGTTCCAAGTTGCTCATGAGCACATACGCATGTGGGACATTAGTTTCTATATTTGTGGTTATGCAGCAGAATTGTCCATGTTTCTTTTTTTTTTTTGTGTTGAGGCATTTGTGGATCAAATGCATGATAAAAGAGAAAACATGCAGCTAAAGCAGAGTTACTGTCCTTGAGGGCTGTTTTCCTGCAACTTTTACATGTTTTTCCTTTTCAACACATCAGCATTGCTCTGAAGAAGAAGCAAGTTTCAGCAAGGAATTATCAACGGATCATTATTTGTACCTAAAACTAATACATTTGCGGTGATTATATGAATTTAGTGTTGATCAGTACAGGGCTGACAGACCCTGCAGCAGCAGAGGGGTCTGCGCCGATGGGTTAGGAGGGAACAGCACCTGCAGCTGCCAGGTGAGACACACACAGATCTGAGTTCTGCTATGTTTGCGAGGACTTTCTATTGACGTCCATTCATTTCTAACTCCACCCTGAGCCTACCCTTTACCAACACATACCTAACCCTCAACCCAAGAAGCTAAAGTTTCCATTAGTCGACTGGCCCCCATAAGAACCTGTAAGGCCTGAGAATGTCCTCATATTTCTGGGAAATTGATCGTACAGGTTCCGACAAAGCCCCACCACTGACCCATGAGGAGCCAATCTGGTACCAGCAACCTTAAAGGAAACTAAAACTAATATGGGATTTAATAAATTTAGCGTTAATCAGTAAAAAAATAAAAACAATCATTTTCGTTGCGATCACTGACTCTGGGAGTGGCCATTTTTGCCCAAATATAGTAACCCCTCCCTCCTGCCATCTTCCGGCAGTGACATCACGGTGCGGTAAGCCTAGCGCCATTCTCCCCGCTTTACAAGCAAAATCAATGGGAACTACTAGACACATCTGCAATCAACAACAATTATTGAAGATTTCCAGAGGACTTCACCATTGAAATTCACCAGAGCTATAGTGAAACTGACAATGCCCCCGTGAATGGCAGTTGGATGTTGGAATAAAAGTGAAAAAAAAAAAGTTATTTCACCATTCTGATTCCTGATCCTCCACGGACGGGTTCGTCGTTGGATCGCCAACTTGAAGAGGGAGGATTTGCCATCGAACTTCTGGCCAGAGAAAAGACACGTAATATGTAGCCAACATTTGGAAGAAGAATGTTTTCAAGATGACTTGGATAATAGCGCGTTGTGACAAACACCAGATACAGCACTGGGACTTGATCAACAGCCGATACCGCACCGTGACGTCACAAACCAGTAGGTGGCAGTAGTGTTCTTTGACAAAGCACATTCAGATGAAAATTACTCTTAATTAAAAACACTGATCATTTATTGAACAGGATGGAATAATTTCATATTTAACGTACTTTCAGCAGTGTGTATTCTGAATGTGACCGGACTTTTCCTTTAACACATTTTAACAAGAAAACAATTTAAAGTGCTTTATTTAATGAAACATGAGGAAAGCAAACCACTTTAAAAAGTATCTTATGGTGGAATAAACGAGGAAGGTAAAGAGAACTTGTACTACAGACTGAAATTAATAGATTTTTAGTTAATAGTTTAAAGTAAATAGTCAAAAACAGCTTTGAACAATCAAGATCAGTTTTAATTCTTAAAGGATTTTAAAGAAACAGTGAGCCAGAGGAATGACTTCAGAACTGGGCTGATGTTCTTCACTTTCTTAGTTCTAGTGAGGATGCAGGCAGCAGCATCCTGGATCAGCTGCAGCTGTCAGATCCAGTTTCTAGGCAGCATGTGAAGATACAACTCTACTAAAGAGGAACGAGGCAGGAAGTAACTTTTCCACATTAGTCCTTTAATTCTGGAGACGTCCTTCAGGGGATAGAAGGCCCACTTTGTTCCTGTCTTTATGAGCATCTGAATGTTCATGTCTGATACCATCACTACATCCAGATTTAGGTGCATGGAGATCTTGAATATGAGGGGCCCTAAATGGAGCCTTGGGGAACGCCTTGTGGGAGTTCTGTGGCTCTAATGGAAAGTTATTTACTGATGAAAAAAGAGAGGTTTTGGATAACAAAACATTAAAAAGTTGCAGGACAGCGACCATCGAGGACCAGAGTCTGTCTGTTCACATTTATTCCTTTGCACTGGAATATGAACAGTCCCGTCCTTCCAGCAGGTTCTGCTGCTTTCCGAGTGTTTGACCTGGTCAGTCTGCTGCTGGTGTCCCATTAGAGTGCCGTCTGATCCCAGAGTGGTTTGTGTTTTTAATGCTGGGAGTCCTCGCTCTGCTGAACAAACCTTTCACCGATATCTGACATGTGAAGCTGTTTTTATGCTTCATGATCCTCCAGCAGTCATGAAAGGTATGGCTGCTGTGGAAAACTATCATTAATGGCTACTGGAAATGCTTAGAAAACAAGATTATAGTTTTGGAATAAATATATTCAATTTGATCACGCAAACTCACATTACAATGAACCTTGACCACTGTATTAGCTCATCCCTCAGGGAAAAATGGGTTTGAACAGGGAACTTGCAGCCCTGTCAGAACACTGAGCACTGACCTCTAGAGCCCCACCCCTACCATCAAGCTCTGCTGCTAATTTTAAAAACATCTCCCCTTTGTTTGAGAACTCAGTTTTTCATTTTTGGAAATCAGCTTTCTGAGTGTTTTAGAAATGATTTATAGAATTTAAATGATCTTAAAACTTCACCTAGATCAGTAAGGTCTGCTGAATAGTGACTTCCTGTTGGTCCCTGAATAGCGTTGAGATGTGAAGGAACTGGCCTCCATCCTCTTCTACATTAATTCAATTCACTTAAATTCAATTCAGTTTATTTCTATAGCGCCAATTCACAACACATGTCATCTCAAGGCACTTTACAGTTCACCAGATCATACAGTCAGATTGATTAAAAGTTTTCTATCTAAGGAAAACCAGTTGATTTCATCGACTCATTGACTTAAAGGCAATCCCTCACACCAAGCATGCTTGTAGCGACAGGGGAGAAGAAAAACTCCCTTTTAACAGGAAGAAACCTCCAGCAGAACCAGGCTCAGTGTGAGCGGCCATCGGCTGAGGCCGACTGGGGTTCAAGGAGACAGAAGCAGAGATACTAAAGGAACTTGTCAACCAGCTCCACAGGCGGCCCCATCCAGGAAACACACAGCCAAGCAGACGAGCTCCGAGCCAGCTCCCATGTCAGAGGATGAAGAGAGCACATCCAGTTAGTCACAGTCAGAGAAACAGGACTACACTGAAAAACAGGCCGATCTCCAACATCTATAAATAAAGATGTTGATGGCAGCAGCACAGCTGATATTTCTCTCCAGGATGGAGTCACAGCCAAACAGGAACAGACCAGATGAAACTACTATGAGAAAAAGCAAAGAGAGCAGAACGTTAGAGATTGAACAAACAGATTCTGCAGAATAGGAGAATAGAGAGAGAATGAAGCAGAATGATGAAATGGGGGTCCCTATGTCCTCCAGCAGTCTAAGCCTATATTAGCATAACTATAGAGATAGCTCAGGATAACCTGAGCCACTCTAACTATAAGCTTTATCTAAAAGGAAAGTTTTAAGCCTAGCCTTAAAAGTAGACAGGGTGTCTGCCTCACGGACTAAAACTGGAAGTTGGTTCCACAGGTGGGGAGCCTGATAACTAAAAAATCTTCCTCCCATTCTACTTTTGGATTGAGATTGAGAGCGAAGTTACCCTATTATGAATATAAAACCTTTCCTTTTGTGATCCGATTGCCATAAACTCCACGTAGATCACTAAGGTCTGCTAAACAATGGCTTTCTGTTGGTCCCTGATGAGGGTTGAGATGTGAAGGAACTGGCCTCCATCCTTTTCTACATTCGATTTATAAACCTCACTTTTCTCCACTGCCCACTGTAAACTTGTGTTAATAGATGTCTTTCCTGTTAGACGTCATTCTTTAATCTCATGCTGAGGGTCCAGCTCTCCTTTATTAAACAAGCTTCACAAATAAATCAGCCTTTTTCATTATTATACACCGCAGAGACTTTGTTCAGTCCAATTACCTCTGCAGTAAGTTTATTTCATACCTTCCCTGGAGGAGGTAATCAACCTTTGGTGGTTGAACTATTTAAAAAGAATGTACCTAATTTATATTTAAAATATTGATTTGGCACCAATAAATGTTTAAGATGAACCTACCAGCTTTTAGAGTTATTGTCTCTTCAGCAGCTCCCAGGCGAGACTCCCAGCAGGGCGCCAGTGTTTTCATGTTCGTGTTGCTTTGTCTGGCGCTGCTCTTAAGTTTTCTTTTCCTGCAGGTCATCTTTAACCCTCTCCATCCTCCATATTTATCCCTCATATCTGGTGAACGGGTGTTTTCATGGTGTTGTGTAGGAGTTTGGCTGTTTTCCAAACATCACTGCCGTCGTCATCCTGCCGCCTTCATAAACTGCTGATCTGATGTACTGTTACTGATCGGTTTCTCTGTGTCGGGAAATGAAACAGCAGGCAGCAGAGAACTACGACCCACACAGATGTGTAGAAGTGTTTTCTGTTAACAATGACAGCAGAATCCTGCGTCTTTATATGGAGTCCTGGATTTTAAAGCATTTTAACCGCCTTTTGGTGTAACTCAGACCCCATCGGAGGATCGGTGGAGTGGACTTTACTTGCCTACTTGTCGATTTAACACTCAGATCTTTGAGAAATCCAGGCTAGAAGCTCAATTTTTCCCCCATCCATTAGTCCAGTCCTGGTTCTGATGTGCGTTTCGTTTTATTGTTCTGTAGAAAGCCCCACTAAATCCTGGTTTATGCTCAGAAACCAGGTCGTATTCATGTGTGTCGCAGTTAACTCTTGTGTACCTCCCCAAAATTGTAGGTGATCGCAGACAGGGCCGCAGATAGCGTCGCATGGAGGAAAGGAAGGATGCCTCTGATTGGTCAATTCTACATCCACTCTACACTATGCATATTTCCTGTTTGGTACCTAATGGCAGCAACTCTGGCTGTTGTGCCGTCCACAACGCCTGGCACACTTTGGGCACTATCCCAGACCCCGTGCAGGATGCTAGTTTGTAGCTCTGAGCGACAAACTATTGGTTTGTACCCAAAGCCAAAACACTCAGTGCCACGGCCAGTCTTTGGGGAACACTCACGGGTGGACTGTGTGTCGTCTACCGTTGGATGAGGGGTTATCAATGTGTCGTCAAACCGACACATTGACACCCGCAGTCCTAGCTAGTTCCTGATTGTCCCTCTTGCGTTGTGGCATGGAATAGCAGACCACGCTACAAAATTGGGCATAAATCAAAAATATCTGCATCATAATTGCGACACACTGATGCGGGAGTATACAATCAACTTCAACCATTTCAGGTCCATTTGAAGGACTCTGAGGCAGACTATGTTCTTCATCTTCCCTGAGCATTTCAACAGTATGACCAGTCCAAGCCATTTCTCACCTAGATATATTTTATTTGTTTTCTCCTGTTAGACTGAAATATAAGTGCCCAGTAAAAATGGTTGTTGTGGATTGGGCTGTACATCAGAGAAACTACGGTTGTTCAGAAATAGATCCAAAAGACTTTCCCAAATTGTCTAGATCTATGGTTCCTCTTGGATCTTCTTGGGCTCCATTGTTGATTAATCAGCTTAGAGCTTTTAAAACATATATTTTATGCTATCTACAAGCAGGATCCGTTCCCAGAACCTAAGGTGCCTAGGCTTAGATAGATGTGTGGGTGATTGCGCGTGTCAACGCGGAGAACCGCTCTTTACTGCGATGAGACCTGACTGTGACAGTACATCAGCAGTCCTCCTCTCTGAGTATGAATGCGTCATTCTCATTTCATGTTTTTTCTGCCTCCAGCAAGAACAGAAACTCAGTGGCCTACGCTGCCCAGAAGTCCTGGCTGCTCAACGCCACGGTGGAGGAAAACATCACCTTCGGCAGTCCCTTCAACAAACAGAGGTAAACAGCACGCTCCAGTACCGATAGGACCCTGGTTGCAGGTTCTGGGCCGTCTGTGATGGCTGTCTGGTTCGTTTTTTCTAGGTACAAAGCTGTAATCGATGCCTGCTCTCTTCAGCCGGACATCGACCTTCTGCCGTTTGGAGATCAAACTGAGATCGGGGAGAGGGTCGGTGTCTCTGTGTTCTGTTACTTAGGGCTGAATGTTCACCATCAAAACCTGGAGAGATCTCCTCTTATTTGGAGTCTGATCTGTCCTTCATTTCAGGGGATCAACCTAAGTGGAGGTCAGAGGCAGAGGATCTGTGTGGGCAGAGCTCTGTATCAAAACACCAACATCGTCTTTTTGGTGAGTCCGCATTTCTCATCAATGGTTAAAACATGTTTACCTCCAGAACAAAAGGTACGCAGCGATCGGACCGGTGTTCTGTCAGACCAGCATACCTATACTCAATACGCATGCGCAAGACGTCAGTTTGCATTTATCTCTTTAGTTTTGTATGAAAAATAGGCTTTAAATACCTCAACAGGGGTGTATCCCTTTAGTCTTAAAGACAATTTGTGGTCAGACAGTCATACATTTAAAAAAACAGCAAAAAGTAAGTAATTACATTTTTTTTTGTACATGACTAAAGAGATACAAGCCTGTTTAGGTAGTTAAAAGTGTATTTTCCATACAAAACTAAAGTATGCCCAATACCCAGTACCTATCAGAGCAGAGTTGTCCGTTCTTGAGATTGACAGCTGTCCCAGCATGCACTGTGGCAGCAGCGGCTCACAGAGCTCAGCTAAGAGTTCTCTTTTCTGTCGCCGTTGTTAAATAAAAGTATTTTTTAAGATAATTTGAGGCGAGAACATTATACTTTTAAGCATCACTATATGGCCCATTTAGTGATTTAATGTGTAATTTAACATGTCAGAAGTTGAGAGGATCGTGGTAACCAGCGGACCTCTGAGGCTAACAGCAGCCAGGGCTAACAGGCTAGTTGACCCATATTTATGCTGCATGCTCCCATCTCCAATCTAAACTTTCCTGTTTTCTTCTGAAGAACATACTTTGCGAGGACACGAGTCCGAACTTGCGTTCTTGTGAATTGAGAAACAGACCCTGTCTACTTTTAAGGCTAGGCTTAAAACGTTTCCTTTTTGATAAAGCTTATAGTTAGAGTGGCTCAGGTTATCCTGAGCTATCTCTATAGTTATGCTGCTATAGGCTTAGACTGCTGGAGGACATAGGGACCCCTTTTTCATCATTCCGCTTCATTCTATCTCTATTCTCCCACTCTGCAGAATCTGTTAGTTCAATCTCTAACGTTCTGCTCTCTGCTTTTTCTCATAGTAGCTTCATCTGGTCTGTCCCTGTTTGGCTGTGACTCCATCCTGGAGAGAAATATCAGCTGTGCTGCTGCCATCAACACCTTTGTTTATAGATTTTGGAGATGAGCCTTTTTTTTCAATGTAGTCCTGTTTCTCTGACTGTGACTAACTGGATGTTCTCTCTTCATCCTCTGACATGGGAGCTGGCTCGGAGCTCGTCTGCCTGGCTGTGTGTTTCCTTGTTTTGTATCTCTGCTTCTGTCTCCTTGAACCCCAGTCGGCCTCAGCAGATGGCCGCTCACACTGAGCCTGGTTCTGCTGGAGGTTTCTTCCTGTACAAAGGCAGTTTTTCCTCTCCACTGTCGCTACAAGCATGCTTAGTGTGAGGGATTGCCTTCAAGTCAGTGAGTTGAGGCAATCAACTGGTTTTCCTCAAATATAAAACTTTGAATCAATCTGACTGTATTATCTGGTGAACTGTAAAGTGCCTTGAGATGACATGTGTTGTGAATTGGCGCTATAGAAATAAACTGACTTGAATTGATAGCAAGAAGGGTTGTAGAAATTATGCAAGCTGCTGAGCTTTGGACCGCCTGAAGCTTGTTTAAGGATTTTTGAGGTAGACCAAAAAGAAGAGAACTACAGTCATCGATGCAGAAAGTGACAAAATACGTACAAGTGTCGAGGTTGAACCAAGACAGAGAGACGGGTGAAGACGATTGATATTACGTAAGTGAAATTAAGCAAGGTTGTTAATGTGAGAGGAAAAGAAAGAACATTGTACTATTAATGATAACACCCAGACTCTTGAACTGAGCTGAGGAGGGAGATTACAGAGTTGTCAAGTGAAAGGGGGAAACTGTCAGCTTTGGATAACGTAGATGCGGCTCCCACAAGGGTTTGTCATCTCCAAACGATGGCCCTCCTGCCTCCGTGGCTGAGGCTGGTCCTGATTCTGTCTGGACTCGAATGACCAAAGGATCTCGGCTCGTACCCCCTCTGCATGAACCTCATGGTTTCCTGTCATCAGGGGAACCACGATGTCAGAAGGTATCAGCAGAAGAATCTCTGAAGCATCTGTTCTCCTGCTGTGTTTGCCGCCACGTGTGAATCTCTCCCTAATTGAATTGTTTGATCTCCTGTTGCTCTCACCATGCATATATTCCACATTAACACCCGTCTCCGTCGTTCTGCCCCTCCTGACACATGGGAACGTCTGCAGCTGCTAAATCCGTCAAACCGTCCTGCGTCAGATGTTTTCTTTGACATCATTTGAAAATGACAGACCATATCTGATCTTGCATCATGGCCCCTCCTCATCACACCCGCACCCACCCATCCACACCACGTCTCTGTGTTTGGCAGATGTTCTCCTGGCGTGGCTGAAGCTTGAATTATCCAAACAGTGTTTGGCGCCAGGCGTGACATGAAACCAATGGGGAGGTGTTGACATATTATCCGTTCGCTCCAAGGATCACTGATTGTTTTGATCTGGTAACTTTAAATCTGTTTTTCACATCAAACAGGACGATCCGTTCTCAGCGCTGGACATCCACCTCAGCGATCACCTGATGCAGGAAGGAATCCTCAAGTTTCTGCAGGACGACAAGCGAACCGTGGTGCTCGTCACCCACAAACTGCAGTACCTGATACACGCAGACTGGGTAAGGCCTGAAAACACAACCACTGCTGTCCTGAGAGCAGGGGTGGATTTAAAAAATTTGGGGCCCTAGGCAAAGACAGGCAGGGGGCCCTCTGAACTGAGAAGACAACACATAAAACAGACCCATTATACAGATAGAGAAATGTTAATAGAATAGACATCCATTATTAGTTCTACATTTCACATCTCTATGTTTTGTACTCAGCTGACTTTTCATGCTGTCTCTAAAGGAATAAAAGATTTTTTCCAAGCACTAAGCTCACTTAGCTGATTGCTCCTTCCTGTGTTTCCTAAATGGCCAAAGTAAATAACCCAGTCCTTCTTTTCACTGTAGACAAGCCATGATCTGCTTCTCTGTTCTCCATTTTTCATTTGGATGAAATAATAGCTGCATGAATCATGACAGCAGACAAGATAGAGGAGAGCAGGAGGCGGGGTTACCAATCTACTCACTCTGGAGAGCAGAGTTCGCTGCTTTTAGATGTTGTCGCCAAAGTCTCCACTAGCAGAAAAAAGTGACTAGATTTGGCGCTAGGCGCTTTTTAGAAATAAAAGTGCTACAGGCGTGTGAAAAGTCAGTAAATATAGCGACCAAAGCACTAAATTGGCAACACTGCTCTTCGTACCGTTTTAAAAATGGTTCTCTGCTGTTTGTCTAGACCTTTCTGAACATGTGCAGCAATGGACTGATCCAATATGATGGAAACTGAAGGGGGGGCTGAGACACACTTGATATTATAAGCGTTCTGATGGCATTTTAGCGAAAGGATTTTTATCAAAAATAATGTGCATGTAAACAGAGTTTTATGGGGGCCCAGGAACTTGGGGCCCTAGGCAACTGCCTAGTATTGCCTAAGGGTAAATCCCTCCCTGCCTGAGACTTGAAAAACTATGATCTTCTGATCTAAAGAAAGTTGGTTGTAAAGAAGCTGAAGTAGAAAAGCTTTACTGTATGCAAAGTTCCTGCTTCATCAGAAACTGAAAAAACACAACCAGGTCATTTGATTAATCCCTAATCATCAGTTCTGGCAGTTCGCTGCTCTGGAATTTACATAGCGCCAGACTTGAAAGACTGCAGCAGTTAGCTTAGAGAAGAAGACTATGGCATTCATCATCGAGGAAGCGTTTAAAGGTCATTATAAAGCCAACCTGAAGTTCATCATCAGACGAAGTAAATAAATCCAGACATACTGTAGAAGCCATTATGTATAAGCTCTATAAAAGAGGGAAATGATGTGTGTATGGGCGTGTGTTTCACCGGAAAGGGCAAATCGGTTTGACCGCATGGCGGGGAAACGCTGTCAACTCACAGCTGGCTGTTGTATAATTTTGTTTTGTTTTGTAAGCAGCAAGAGTGGGAATAAATCAGCCTTTTAAACAGCAAGAACAGCGTCTGGACATTTCCTATTCACACCATCTAACCCCGGCAAAGCGCGTCAACCATAAGATTCCGGTTTAAAAACATTCCAGTGGCTTTAAGCGTGGCTTAGCCCCTACAAATAAAGTCAAACCGTGGCCCCAAGTCAAGCTTTGGTAAGGACATCGAGACATAGAAGAAGTGTCTCGTATTATTGGATCAAAGGATTCCTTCCTAATTATGCTGGTGTGGCTGGCTGTCACCTGTCGGCACCTGTGATGCGGGGAGAATGCGAGCGGCGGCTTGGGAGGAGAGAGAGGAGCGACGGCGCAGCGGAGGCAGCAGCGCGCAGAGGATGACCGGCATGCTGATCGACTGATTGGAGTGGTTGTGTGGGCAATAGGAGAGATGCCATCAGCGAGCGTGGGTCTGTCATCCATCAGTGGAGGAGCGAGCAGGAGGATCACCGTGTAAAGGAACCTGAGGAGCTTCAGCGGCTTGGTTGCGCAGGTGTGACACAAACGTGGATTTTCCACACATAGGTACGTGTAGCGCTACATTCAGGCCATGGCTATCTAAAATAACAATGCGTAATTCCAGTGCACTGGTTGCCATTTGAAAAAAAAAAAAAAAAAAAAAAAAAAACCGAGATAAGTAACTTCAGGAATAAACTATTTATTTTTTGTTTATTTATTTATTTCTTTGGCTGACATTAAAAATCCAGCTCAGACATGGAAAACTCTGATGCAAATAAAAACACTGACTTAACTGTAAAAGAAGATGTTCTTAAAGAACAAGAGGCTGGTAGCCTTGTGACTGAAACTCATTTGGGTAAACGGGTGGTTAAACTTACTGCCAAGGCCTTGGCTGAGAAGATTGAGAAATTGCAGAATATTAGAAAAGTCAAACTGAATAAGGCTAGTAAGTTAAGAGAAACTATTAAAGGTCTAATGGAAATGGGAAATGTTTGTGAAGTGAAAAATACTTTGAATGTTATGTCTGAGTTGTGTGATGAAATATATGGTGTTCACAATTCTATCATGGGTTTATTGCCACCAGAGGAAAAGGAAAAACATGAAACCTGGTTTAAAGCAAAAATGATGTTTAATACAGATGTTGTCAAAAATGCTCATCTTTGGGTGATACAAAAAGAAGCACATAATGTTGAAAATGAAGGGGTTGATGCAACAAAAGATTGTCATGATAACATATATCCTAATGATAGTATTTCCAATGTGGGGAAAAGTACAAACAGTGTGAGCAGTTCAAGAACAAGCACTTCCTCTGCAAGAATAAAAGCTGCTGCAGAAAAGGCAGCTCTTTTAGCTCGTATGGCAGCTTTGAAGGAGCGTCATGCATTGGAGGAACAAGAGCTGTTGTTAAAAAGGAAAAAAGAACAACTTCAAATGGAAACTGAGCTTGCTGCAGCCACAGCTAAACTGGACATTTTTCAGGCTATGGAGGATCAACGTTCAACTGCAAAATCCAATGGCATGAACTCTTATTTGGAAAGGGAAAGGAAGTCAATATCTCTCTCACTTAATCTTAAAGAAAAGGACTACAAACTACAATACAGGCAAGACGACCAAGATGCATATTGTTTGTCAGTGGAACCATTAAATACAGCTCAAAGAAAGGCAACAGACACTGCAGAAACCCAAGATCAAAAAAATGATCAAGCTTTATCAAGTAACATGTTCACCATCATGGAGAATAGGATAGAAACAGAATAGGATTATGGAAGCAGTTGTGCATCAGCAACGTTGTTTGACTCTTCCACCACGGGACATTCCTATTTTTGATGGAGATCCATTGCAGTATCACCATTTTATAAAAGCATTTGAACAAGGCGTTGAAGAGAAGGCCAGCAAAGCAGACTGTATTTATTATATGGAGCAATTTACCAGAGGACAGCCAAGGGAATTGGTCCGTAGTTGCCAGCATATGGCTCCTGAAAATGGATACAGTATGGCCAAGCAACTTCTAAAAGAACACTTTGGAAATGAGTATAAGCTTGCTAATGCTTATATTGAAAAAGTTTTGGCCTGGCATACAATAAAATCAGAGGATGGCAAATCACTTCAAGCATATGCTTTATATTTGCGGGGATGTTGCAATGTGATGCAGGAGCTTGAATATGTGGAAGAATTGAACATGCCAACAAATATAAAAATCATGGTCTCTAAATTACCATACAAGTTAAGGGAAGGATGGAGGACAAAGGCCCATGACATCATGGAACAACACAACCGAAGAGCTCACTTACATGACTTGGTGACATATTTAGAACGTCAAGTACGGATTCTTTTAAATCCCATTTATGGAGACATCGAGCATGCACAACGAAACAGTTCAAGGGTATCTATACAAAGGGCACAACGTTCTGGAGGAGTAAAGGGAAGCTTCGCCACTACTGTGAAACCAGTGAACTCTGACAACAAAGGTGTGTTGGATGGTTCTCAAATGGAGCTGTGTTGTTGCTGTTCGCACACTCATCGTCTAGACAACTGTAAACTGTTCAAAAGTAAAAAACACAGAGATAAAATCTCTTTTCTAAAAGAGAAAGGGGTTTGCTTTGGTTGCCTGTGCATAGGGCACATGAGTCGTAATTGTACTAATCGTCTGAGCTGTCAAACCTGTGGCCAGCAGCATCCAACTGTGCTTCATATTAGTCCAATCAAGGAACGAAATTCACTTGTTAATCTTGTTTCTACTCCTACACAAACATGTGGTCTTACAGGGGCCGGAAAAGACTGTCTTTTATCCATCGTTCCAGTTAATGTCAAGTCCACTACAGGAACTGAAGAGGTGCAGACTTATGCATTTCTCGATCCCAGTAGTTCTGCTACATTTTGCACGGAAGAGCTTATGAAAAAATTAAAGATTAAAGGAAGACAAACTCAGTTTTTGTTGACTACCATGGGACAGGAAAAGGTGGTTCCAGCACACCTGTTGTTTGGAATTGAAGTTGCAGGGATAAATTCAAACACTTTCCACCTGCTTCCAGAGGTTTTAACACAAAAGGAAATGCCAGTATTAAAGTCAAATATTGCTACACCTGCAGATCTGAAAAGATTTCCATATTTGTCAAAGATTTCTATTCCCAACATAGATGCTACTGTTGAGTTGTTGATAGGAACCAACGCACCCAAGCTATTGGAGCCCTGGGAAGTAATCAACAGCAGATCGGATGGCCCTTACGCTATAAGGACAGTATTGGGATGGGTCATCAATGGACCGACGCATGGAAACGAAATGAGCAGAACAGCAGTTGTGAACAGAATTTCTGTGACAAATCTGGAGCTAATGCTACAAAACCAGTACAATCATGACTTTAATGAAAAACCCTCAGCAGGTAAAGAGATGTCAAGGGAGGATTTGAAATTTATGGACACAATGGATTCTACTGCACATCTGAAGGAAGGCAGATATGTTCTTAACATACCCCTAAGAAATCCAGTTATGACATTACCCAATAACTTTTCTATGGCAAAGCAGAGGATTCTTAGCTTAAAGAAAAGGCTAGTGAGCAACCCGCAGCTTTGTCAAGAGTATGTGTCATACACAGTGACGTGCGGTGAGGTTCATAGCTGGTGAGGCACTGACGTCATCAGAATCAGATTTGCAAATAGATGCATAGATTG